AGCACGCTTTTCGCAGCTTATCGAGTTTCACTTGAAACACTCCATTTTTACGAGCCAGCTGCGTTTAAATCTGCATTTCGATTTCCTTACTAGGATTGATCGTAACTGGGATGAAAAGGTTGGACCTCGATTTCACGCGTCTAAGTATAATTACAACGATATAATGAAAGAAATATTTCAGTATGATATAAAATGATTAGAAAGTATAATAAACGGGAGTGGAAATAAAAATGACGAATATTGCAGGAATGATGTCACGAATTGGTCAACGATGATTTATTATCAGAACAGGATTATGTCAAATCGCAGCGTGTGAGCCTGCAGCATGAACATTCCAAATTATCCTAAGAACTGTTAAAAATAATAATATAATAATAATACTAAGTGATAAAAAGTTAGATTTACGTGTCACAATACTTATTACTAAACACAATTCACTATAGTCGAGGATATATAAAGCATTGTGCGAGCAAGCATGATTATTCCAAATTATCCTAAGGATTGTTTGAAATAATAATATAATAATAATACTAAGTGATAAAAAGTTAGGTTTACGTGTTACAATACTTATTACTAAACACAGTTCACTATAGTCGAGGATATATAAAGCATTATGCGCGCAGGCATGATTATTCCAAATTATCCTAAGGATTGTTTGAAATAATAATATAATAATAATACTAAGTGATAAAAAGTTAGGTTTACGTGTCACAATACTTATTACTAAACACAATTCACGCTAGTCGAGGATACATAAAGCATTGTGCGAGCAGGCATGATTATTTCAAACTTATCCTAAGGATTGTTTGAAATAATAATATAATAATAGTAATAATAATAATAATAATAATAATAATACTGAGTGATAAAAAATTAGGTTTACGTGTCACAATACTTATTACTAAACACAATTCACTATAGTCGAGGATATATAAAGCATTGTGCGAGCAGGCATGATTATTCCAAATTATCCTAAGGATTGTTTGAAATAATAATATAATAATAATACTAAGTGATAAAAAGTTAGGTTTACGTGTTACAATACTTATTACTAAACACAATTCACTATAGTCGAGGATACATAAAGCATTGTGCGAGCAGAGCCGGTTCACGCTCGGTTGCTGATTCGAGCTACTTTTCACTATCGAAAGGTAATCGGGTTCTGCATAACGGCGATCTAAAAGTGTATCGCAACTGGTTTCAACATTCTACGTGCTCGTACCGCAGCAATTATTTGTCTAGAGTCCGAAGAAAAAGGGTGAACCGCTAGCTCTAGTACTCACAGTCCAGTAAGCCACGATTTTACGCTACTAACGGAAAAAAGATTTATAGACGCCTTACAGAGCTCGCAATTACAACGAAACTTAGCTTTCGTTTTCGATTAAGAGACGAATTCTGACGGACGTAAGAAAATAATTAGATTTATCGCGAAAGAATAACGGGAAAGGTGAATTCCCGACTTGTCGAATACCTGACCGCCATTTTGTTCGGTCTTTTGCAAAGAACAGTGAAAGAATACCAGCGATTAATTGTTACGACGTTTATAAAGAACAGCAATTGCGTAATACGATGTTGTGACACGATGGATAATGATCTGTGTCTATTTCATGAGTTGACAATACCAGCAGGATTGTAGCAATGAGGATCGATATCGAGTGTTGTATTTTTACCGAGGAATTCTGTTTTATTTTCGGACTTATTCCTGAAACTTTGATATTCTTTATTAAATCGAGCAACGGGAAGATAATTGTAATAAAAAAGCTGTGACAAAAATCATTTTGCATACGATACTAGTTATTATAATATTAATATTTTATTCAATGTACCTTTATTTAATTGTAAATTATTTTTCGTGATACCTTATTCAACACGTAAAAGTCGAAAATTGAGAAATGGAGAACGAGAGAAAATTGGAATTCCCGGTCCACCCTCAAAAAAAAAAAAAAAAAAAAAAAAGAAAAATAAGGAAAGAAGAAACGATAATACGTACATAAATGCGATGTTTGAAGTGCCTTTAAGAAGCAGTAAATATAACTATTATATTTCACCAGAGGCAATTCGTATACGTAGGATGGAATCGAATTATTCAATATACCTTTGTTTAATTCTAATTTTATTTTTCGCGATACTTTTTACTAGACGTAAAATTCAAGAACTGAGAAGTGGAGAACGAGAGAAAATTGGAATTCCTGGTCCCCCTTCAAAAAAAGAAAAGAAAAATAAGGAAAAAAGAAACGATAATACATACATAAATGCGATGTTTGAAGTACGTTTAAGAAGCAATAAATATAACTATTATATTTCACCGGAGGCAATTCGTACACGTTGGATGAGATCGAATTATAACCGCCGCGCAATAAATTGCAGCTTTGTAATTATTCATGAGAGGATCCGCAAGAATTACATTTTTCATCCGCTTAATCTCCAAACTTACGTAAACGATGGCTATAATTGTAAAACTAATGTTCCTTCCCGTATTGTCGTTAATAAAAAGAAACGTCAAGTTACATAATCCTCGTTTCTCGCGAAGCCTTTTCAATCCTCGAAGGAGAGATGAAGTACCCTATAATACCAATAATATTGAAAAATCTGTTCAAAAAATAAAGTAAACGAACGTGTCGCTGACAACTCGCTTCTCGCTGCGGATATTTCTCTCACGACCTGACCGTGGTCGAAAAATCGTAAAAATGATAATTGCCAACGCACATAGAGTGTCATCGTCTGCAACTCCATTTTTGCGAAGAGTATTCCGCGGTCAATCAGTCATATGAACACTTCAAGGAACTCGAAACCATTAACACGGGACAACTCCGACGTTACTTCCATTAACAACCGAATTTTACTGCCCCTAGCTGTTTAACAGAGCGGAGAAGATTAATCCTCTACCAATTCCGTCCAAGGGCGAAAATCCGCGAGAGGAGACATAAATTTTGTTTGCGTGTCTAGGATTGCTGGAAAGAAGAAACGAGCGACGAATTAAAATTCCCGCGATCCAGACGCGGTTCTGAAGGCTAAAAATTAGCGGAAATAGGATCGATACGCGTGTAAACATTGGAGTTATCGAGTCCGAGTATAATTTTTGAGCTGTCGAAATTCGAATTCGAAACTCGGCGAGATTTCTCGACGCTTTCGAAACTTTCGAAACTGTGAGCTCTCGAGATTTATTTTGCAAGAAGATCTCGTTCTCGAGAGTAAAATCTTGATAAAATTTTTTCGTAGATCTTCATCGCTCGTAATTAAGGAGTAAATAAATAGGATATGTTTACTTCATCCTCAATTTCACTTACGTTATCTACTCCCATCGCTGTGCCTCTCGAGTTGTTTCTTCTGTCGTTACTGTTGTAAATTAACTACGGTCATGCAACGATGGTGACAGGTCTGCTAGAGATTGCAGGCCAATATTGACCTTTGGACTTCAAGGACCTTTGATACTGTGCAGTCATCGAGTGATCGATTTTTGGGTTTAACACGTTGAGTACGGCACCGATTTTGTTGTACTTTCCGCTCAGGTGGCAGCGAGTGAGCACTAGATGCCGAGCGCTCAAGTATGCTGAAGAGTATGAACAGAAAATTACTTTGTTTCACTTTGTCGTTTGGACTGTGAGAATGGTGCAGCCAATGCACAAATATACAAATCATAAACGGAAGGATGGACTACTCTGTTCACTGATGATGTAAATTCGAAAGAGATTCCTGAAGATTAGAGGAGATCTGATGCATTTTTCACATTTTATAAAGAAAAAAAGGCTATGTTATGTTTGGAAAGGTTAGGCAAGGAAAGCTTTGACTTTCACGAAAAAACAAAAACTTAATAATATAAAAAAAGGGAAGAAAAAAATATTCCCAAAAAAGGGAAAAAATAAAAATGAAAGGAAAAAACATTGGAGTGGGGAATGTCAGAAAGGCAAAAAGGTGATCACCAAAAGACGATCAGTCAGAAAAAGCCACGGAAGTGTAAAGATTTACTTCAGCAGAGGGAATTTAGTTTTTACAATATATTAATTGTCATTAATAATTTAACCCTAGACAATTCCGGTCTCATGCACCGATGTCGACCAAACGAAAAGTTCGCTGTCAGTACCTAGAATCCACGCCGTCCAAACGAAAAGTCTACTGTCAGTCCCCAGGAACTGACGTAGCACTCAACGTGTTGAAAGGGCCTGCTGTCCCTTGCAGCAGTCAGTCTCAAATCCGGAGCAGTGTAGAACGCTTTTAAAGTATTGTCCCCGAGGACCGGCGCTAGATTTTCCGTTCGGGCCCAGCCGATCCTCAGGAACCGGCCCAGACTAGGACCAAAAGGTGCTAACTTTTGGTGTTAAATTCTTCGCCATCTTTGGACCTAACTTTTGGGAATTCCTGTTATAACAATTGGTACAGTATCTCCGAGTTTTATGAACACTTCGCCCGCCGCCAGTGGCCCACTTGACGGCCGAGTCTGGGCCTGACGGCAAGCAAAACGGACTGAGCTCTTAACGTGTTAAACTTTATATATCTATTGTTGCACAACTGAATACGGTTACTTCCCTGCACGCTAAATGCCTTGATTTCATCACAGAAATTCCAAGTTACGTCTAACATAACCTAAATTTTCCTGACACTTTTATGAATTTTATGTTCCTCTTTATCTAAATTTCATCACGAGTAAAATACCATATTTCAAATTTCCTTATTTGGATTTTAAATGGTGTCTAAACATGCATGCTTAATAAATTCTTCGTTGTTTGTAGTAAAGAAGAAAAAGCTTCCTATTTTTTTCTTTCATTCTTGTTTACAAATATTACAACAGCGAAGTTAAAGATTGGAAAAGAAATATCTGGATCGTCGTGTTTTTATTTTTAATCGCGCATCATTATTTACCAACTCGCTAATTTCAATACGGTAATAATCGTATGGAACGAGTCCAACGATAACGAGTAGATAGTAATGCAATGAAGTGTCAAAAAGAAGAGTTCATTGACAGGAAAAAAATATTAATCTCGGCTGCTTCTATTTTCTTTCAGGAATCCAACATGGTGGAAAAGGAGATCAGCGCTGGAGCGCGGACTAACCGTGATAGCAGTCTGCGGGGTGCTTTTGTGCATCGCGTTGGCTGTTGCACTCGGTGTTCTGGCGGCGAACACTGCATCCTGCAACACGTCGACTAGAAACGGTACGAAAATGCGAAAAAATTCCTACGGGAATTCGCTTTGTCAATTCGCAATTAATTCCTATCCACCTGTAAACGTCGAGTGTCTAAATTACGCTCGTTATTTTTATTAAACGATTTTTTCAATCATTTTTCAGCTTCGCTAAGTTTTCCGAGCTACGTAAATACGTAGTATCGTGATACTTAATTGGTGCTTCTAAATTGTTCGTTATTCTTAGAATATGTCAATTATGCTTGCACGTGTCTCACACAGCTGATCGCTTGCATCGACGCTAAAGAGAGCCCGATCTTCACATCCACGACTTAATTACGCATATTAATATTCGATAACATCGCTACCAGCTCGGAACATCGACGAAATTCGCGTGGAATTCCGAATATTCGTTCCTCGGCCGCAATCGAAACGTGATACTAACTCGTCGACGTCGTGTACACTGTACTGCTCACACTGTACCACGATTGATCACACACCTGTGCGTGTAATCCGAATACTCGCTCCTTAACGAGCTTAAAAACGCCACGATTAACATCCGCGCGGGTTCACCAAGATGGCGCGAGTCACCGTTCACTTCCGCCGCGATTAAAACAATGTCTAACGTCGTTTAATGGCGCTTATTATCAATTATCTCGTTAACTCTTCGCTGGTTTCCACGACCCGCGTAGAGTAATGCTCACCAAAATTACGCAATTATGGTCTCACAATGACCATCGCGTATCCGTTGATCTCAAAAGAACAAACAAACGGACGCAGCAACTGGTTCTCTGACTTAACCCGTAAGTCGTTTCCTCTTTAATTCCGCTTAAATTCCGCGACTTTTGAAACGAGATTCTTTCCGCGATACTCGCGGTCCTGTGTCTCCTTATTTATTTTTCTTATTTATTTTTACTAATTTGTGCCTTTTCGATTACTCCTAAACCGGTAGAGGTTCGACGGAAGCGACAAATTGGCGTTCCTCTCGCGAGGAAACGGTTCGATAACGGTCCCGTGGATACGTCGAAAAAAGCCATTAAAAAAGAATTTCTGGCACGTGTGAAAGCTGGCTAGACGGGCTTACAATCGAGTTGTCATAAATTTCATTGACAGCTGGTGTCACGTGCGACCTATTTCCTCATGCTGATTTATTCCCGCGAATCAACGCACTTCTCTTGGATCCTCGAAATATCGCGTGGATCGCGTGGATCGCGTGAAGCTAAACGGTATATTAATTCCTTTGTACGATAGTTCGCTTCGTTTTGTATCGTGACGGCCTGACATTTCCAACGATATGACGAGACTACAACGGAGGCTGGTTAGGGTATACGCTATGATACTTTAGGGTATTTGTCCGTTGAGGTTGATGGAAGTAATATTTTTATCATGTCCCTCGAAGTGCATAAATCGGTGGAAGGTGAACGAACTTTTTAGTCAAACTAATACATCGTGATCGACGTGTAATAAATACGTCATGTGTACGATTCGTTACAAATTTACCCCGTTGTATTTCAGAACAGACTCTCGAAATCAGTCGCCATTCCCTTCTCCCTTGAAGGAGTGATAAAATCGGCCAGGGTCGTTTTCGATATGTATCGTGAATAATAATTATTATTTCAAGGATAAGCAGAGTATGGTCGTCGAGTAATGTCGAAAGTTTTGCACAGATATCTAGGGAACTAAGGCAGACCACCCCTTGTGTACATAGGAAGAAGTTATTCAAAATTAATTTTTAAATTATATGAAGAACTCATCGAAATCGGTGGATGAGCTTGTGAGGATCCATCCCATAGGGGTTATGATGATGGTCTGTGGTTCCTACGGTTCTGCCTGTTGATATCCCTCTCAGTCGTTTTGCTATAATAGGGTAGCACGTGAAACGACGTCGTGAGGAAGGGATGCGTTTCATCCTAGGCCTGTTAGTGGACTCGTCACAATAAAGCTTTCTAGCTGGTCCTGCCTTTTTTTTTTTTTTTTTTAGCAATAATGCAATGAGATCGATGACTCCTGAGTCGAGTGCTAGTAATCTTAACTCTAGGTACTTAAATTATAATAAGAATATTGTGAAGGCTCTGCCTTAGATGGGGATACTTAGGTAGACACAGTAACTTGTATTTATGTAAGATCGAGGGTTCACCGAGGACTTGGTAGAAAGTCTTCGAACCTCTTTCAAGTAGGAATCCATCTATCGACGAGGGTGTGAACGTTGGACGCTAGAAAAGCTATTCAAACATGTCGAGAAGTCAAAAAAGGTCGTAGATTTTACAGTATGAAATTCAAGAGCTACTACTTCGATATATCGAGGAAGCCTTGGAGCGCAAAGGGTCGAGACGAGCAAGTTCTATCTCGTGGTTCCCGAATATCGTTAGAGAGTATGAAAATGTGGACGAAAATACACGCGGTGTTACGCAACTACGTTGCAGAACGTAGTACTACGTGATCCTCGGTAATCCGAAAGAAAGCGCAGTTTCGTTTTACCCTTGTTCCACGTACGAGATTACGATCGCATGACTACCACTTCCTCGTGCGATAATCGCGTGACTTTACATGGTAGGCTGCATCCGCGGATACTCGTTTCCTCTTTCTCTCGTTACGTCGATTATAACAGTCTGCCAACGAAGAACAACCCGTGTCCGATGGCGAAGCACGTAATTTGACGTCAAGTATCGTGACGTCAATAAGAGCTTGTGCTAGACTCTGACGCACCAGGGTGAGTGATTATTGTTTTGAAAGTTACTCACCGGGTCGAGATTCTCCTATGGCCCAGCCAGAACAAGTAACAGGGCAAATGCTCCACACTGTGTATTTTCGATCGTGTGTCAGTCGACATCGCGTGGTAACTTCATTCAAGAAACAATCGGTGAATCATCGAAATATTTTTACGGATCATCGACGAACAATCGTGTTTTAAGAAGCACTCCTCGGGGTCGCTGGCGCCGATGAGGTGTTTCTGTTTCTTCTCCGCGAATGGACGTCAATTCGATTGGTGACGAAGCCTGCTGAAATTTAACTTCTACAGAAGTTAAATTATCGTATTCGACTATGCGAGAATTTTATTAGAGAAACAGTAGGTGAATCGTGGAAATATATTTTAGGATCATCGATAAACGATCGTCGTAGTTGATAGCGTCAATGAGGTGCCTCTGTTTCTTCTTCGACAATGGACGTCAAATCGATCGGTGACGAACCTTTGTAAAGTCCAACATCTACGAACGTTAAATATCGTAATTGACTATGCAATAATTTTGTTAGAGAAACAATCGGTGAATCATGGAAATATATTTAGGGATCATTGACGAACAATCGTCGTAGTTGATAGCGTCAATGAGGTGCCTCTGTTTCTTCTTCGACAATGGACGTCAAATCGATCGGTGACGAACCTTTGTAAAGTCCAAATATCGTAATTGACTATGCAATAATTTTGTTAGAGAAACAATCGGTGAATCATGGAAATATATTTAGGGATCATTGACGAACAATCATCGTAGTTGATAACGTCAATAAGGTGTCTTTGTTTCTTTTTCAAGAATGGACGTCAATTCGATCGGTGACGAACTCTGGTGAAGTCTAACTTCTACAAATGTTAATTATCGTAATCGACCATGCGGTAATTTTATTAGAGAAACAATCGGTGAATCATGGAAATATATATCGGGATCATCGACGAACTATCGTCGCAGTTGATAAGGTCAATAAGGTGTCTTTGTTTCTTCTTCAAGAATGGACGTCAATTCGACTAGTGACGTACCTTGGTGAAGTCTATCTTCTACAAATGTTAAATGTCGTAATTGACTATGCGATAATTTTATTAGAGAAAGAATCGGTGAATCATGGAAATATATTTTAGGATCATCGACGAACAATCGTCGTAGTTGATATCGTCAATGAGGTGTTTTTGTTTCTTCTTCGAGAATAGACGTCAATCCTACAATGTGGTAATATTATTAGGGAAACAATCGATGAATCATGGAAATATATTAAGAAATTATCGATAAACAATTGTGTTTCAAGAAGCACTCCTGGGGATCGGTGGCGTCAATGAGGTGTCTTTATTTCTTCTCTACGAATGGACGTCAATTCGATCGGTGACGAAATCTGATGAAGTCTAACTTCTGCAAATGTTAAACATCGTAATCGACTATGTGGTAATTTTATTAGAGAAACAATGGGTGAATCACCGAAATATTTTTACGAATCATCGACGAATAATCATCGGGTTGGTGGCGCCAATAAGATGTTTCTGTTTCTTCGCGAATCGATACGAACTCGACTGCTGATGAACCATAATAGCATCGTGAAAGTGTCGGCTAATTTTTGCATTTCCTGAATTGTAAATAGGTAAACATCTAGCTAGTGAAACCTCTTCTTCTTTCCGTTAATTTCTTTCTCCGTGCTGAAAGACAATTTGACGATGACTGACGAGGCACTGGATAAGAATTTTAAACAAATTCGCGTTGATTGATTTTGAATCATTTTGAATCATCCTACTGGATATAGTGGTACCGTTATTAATAATTTAAATCTAAGAAAAGATTTATTACGATTATGATAATGTTGACTAATATGGATTCTGATAATGTTCGTGATAAAATTATCTTCCATATTCCAACACGAGTATAAATTGGATATGGTTGTCATTATGTTAATACTATCCACGGAGCAGGTGTTATGGTTTGTAGTTTCCTTACATATGAACAATTAACCCTTTGCACTCGACAATTTTTTCACTAAAGAAGAGTAGGACTTCAAAAATTTTCTGCTACAAAGCTGACGATATTATTTTCAGCAGTAAATAAAGAAATTGTATAATAATTAACACGTAGAATTATTTAATTTCGATACCTCGCACACTGTTACGTTATTTTAAATTTGACATATTAATTAATATAGATCTTCGACATTTTATCAAATGGTGAATGAAAGGCACCTCTCGGGTGCAAGGGGTTAAAAGTGAAATTCATAACAATAGAAATGGTGTTCTAATAAATATGATCACAGGAACAACGTTACCGTATGCTTTAAATACTTTAGAAGAACGTGGAACTTTATCCGTTAAACCATAAATTGAAATATATGAAGGAATTATTATTGGCCTAAGTAGTCGCGATAAAGATTTGGATGTTAATCCTTGTAAAGTAAAACAGTTAACCAATACTAGAAGTTCAAGTAATGATGAAGATGTTAGATTGACACCATCAACTATTCTTAGTTTGGAAGAATCTTTAGATTTTATTGCTAGTGGTGAATTAGTTGAAGTAAGTCCACAGTATATTCGTATGCGTGAAAAATACGCATAACCTTTTTAGATGGTCATGTATGTTCGAACGAGTCAATTGCTTAAGGCTAGTTACGTTTTTTGCACAGAGGCTCATTCAAACCGTGAAACGAATCGCGACCGGAACAATGTACAAACACGCGTGACACCACCGGTTAGGCGATTTAACGGCTAGATTGCTTTACACTTCCGTTTACCATTCGTCGTACTCGTTTGGTAATATCGATTGCGACTGGCTCTTATCTGTAGACACTCGCTGACGAATATGACACGAGGGGAGTGTATTCCGGTTTTGGTTCGTCTTAAGTGAAACTACGTTCGTATTATCGGTGAAAAATATAACTTGGGTTCTTTGAAATTACGTCCACGTAATATTTTAACGCTAGAACTAGTAAACCAGCCGAAGTGACTAGTTTTAAGTATCTTCCTTTTAGAATTACTAAAATACAAGTGTAGGTTTGATAAAATTAACATCGATTTTCATTCTAATAAAGGCACGATTGCGTATACCTATATATCTGTATAACCATATTTTTATATTACTTTGCACTTTATTTATATTTTAAATGTATACGATACTTGCATACACAGTATCAGGTGGGAGGTCTAGTTTTAAAAGGTGTTATTTATAAATACGTAAAGTTACTTTATTTTCGTAATTAGAATCTTACGAAACGTTTAGCACTGCCTGTAGAAATTGCTGGTAACAAAATTGCTTTTATTCCTGGTAATTAATATTATGGATGCGATCGAATATATTACTCCACGAGCTGCTATTAATTCGCTTTATTAAATACCCTCATCGATCATCGTTTGTATTTACGATCTTTACCGATCGATATCCATTTGTCGATGAAACGCCTAACTTAACGTTGGTAAATATACACACGATGATTAAACCTTTTCGGGTGAACGCCGCCACATAGGGGACACGATACTTTTACTTATTAAGTCAAATGCGGTGTACATCGCGGCAAAAATAATTTTATTATTCTCATCGCTATGTCGACATTTTTACTTAACCCCTATAATACTCCTTCCAAGTAGTGCGAGTTGTGTCCAAAAATAAGTATCGATTAAAATTAACATATTTCTCTTAAAAATGAGAATGTTTTCACTTTTCCTTTCCTTTTTCTTATTTCATTTTTATTTTTATATTAACTGATTAAAAATTAGTTACCTAATTAAAAATTAAGTTTAAAGATAAACAATTATTTTCCATGCACAAAAATTTATCGCGAGAAAGATCTATAGTTATCTTTCAATTTTCCACTTTTAACCCTTTCGGTACGGAGGAGCTGGCCGTGGTTATACATTCGTGGTAGGAACAAGTTTTCCACAAGAGTGGTTGCACTGGAAGCCACGAAAACGTGTTTTGTGGTATTCATAGAAATCTCGAGCGTGATTGATACTAAACTTTTCATTCGGATCGCGACAGTGATCGGTGACGTTTCGCGGATGCTGCCAATAGGCGACGGTAGTACCCAGAGAACGTTTCATGGCCGCCGCCAATGGGCGACAGTAGTACCGAAAGGGTTAATCCTCAGAGGATTAAAAGGTATTCGTAGTCGAATACGAATAAAATCGCGAAATCACTCCGTTTCGTACTCATTAATCAAATTGCTTGCAATCGCAGCTTAAAAGGCCACCACTAACAATCGTTAACAGTGCCCTGCATTGTTTTTGTGTTGCAACTGCACCTGCATCTGCGCCTACGCGAGAGTAGATCCTGTTAACTCAGAGGGATTACCATCCACAGCCGGCGCCCTCAACGGATACCAGCAGAACAAAGGCATGCACGTGATCGACAAGGGACCCGACTGCGACGAAGACGTGTGTTACACTCAGGAATGCATCCACACGGGTTTGTTCAGAATTTCGCTTTCGAAAAGATCGAATTAACCACTTGCGCTACGATTTAACTTTCGGTTGCCGTGCCGAGGTCTACAATATAAAATGAGGCAAGGCGTTATATTGACGCCGCACCGCGTCTGCGAGCTAACTGTTAGCCAACGTGACAAATGCCTATCAACGTGGTATACACGTCGCTGGCGGCTTTGGAACAAAATCATCTCGACGTGCGTGGCACGTCTTTATAGCGCAAGTGGTTAACTCGGACTCTTGACTCGAAGAGTCAAACCGCCATTAATTTTTCTAACCGTATCGAACCGTGAATCTTCAGCCTCCAGATTACTGAAGAACATGGACCGCGAAGTGGAGCCGTGCGACGACTTCTACGATTTCGCTTGCGGTGGATTCCTTAAGACCACTATCATCCCGGACGACAAGACCAGTGTCAATACGTTCACTAAGATCAGTGACGAATTGCAGAATCACTTGAGAGCTAGTATAGAGGAGAAGAGTCCACCGGAAGAGCCAAAGCCGTTCAAACTCGCTAAGAATTTGTATAAGGCTTGCATGAACAAGAGTGAGTCTTTATAAGATCTCTGAAGATTAGAATTTTGTGTAGACTTATACACTTCGTTAACTCTTTGCGGCACAGGATTTTAGATAATAAAATAGACCCATGTTGCATGAAAATTTTATTGTGTTTTAAATGAAACAAAATTACTATATTTTTACTAATAAAGGAATCGCAATAAACCTTCTGCTTGCAACAAGTAATGAACCTGTACTGACTGTACTGTTAAAGGTATTACCAACTGCTTTACGTAAATAAGACGAAATATGAACCTATGCTCGTGCAGGTATTGCAATATTTCTAGGTGGGACTAAAAATGTCCCATCATGCATTACGGTGCATCAAAAAGGTGGGACACTTTTAATCCCGCCGTGCCCCAAAGAATTAATACAATATCAGCTGTATGATACTCGTCGTCATAATATTTATCATAGTGCAATCATTATTATTCTTAATAATATCGATAGCTAAATCCGAGAAAATCTTGTCAAGTTAAATTCTATTTAAAAATATTAAAAATTCTCTGAAATGAGAAGGTATTGCAGTTACCATCTATGCCGACAATTATGTAAAGTCATACAGTCTCTACGACGCTGGAGAGTACTTCGGTTAAAAATAAAAATTTCGCTGATTAAGAACTGGAACTGACTCGATCTAACTCCACTGACTCGCTAAATGCATCACACTGACTAATTTAATAACTCTCAACTCAAACTCTAAAACTCCGTATCTCTCGAACTCTCTCTAAACCTAAAAACTGCCTCTATCTTCCAGAATGGACCTTTTTAAGCCCGTCTGAAAGACAAGGGCCTCACCCAAAGGAGGAGAAAACTCCTCCATGCCAAAGCAGGGGTGTAGGAGACTCCTTCTTCCGGGTTAGGCCCTCCGAAGGGTCAGGTGATCGTGGCCGAGTCACCCTCGGCTTACGACGGAAAAAGCCGGGGTTGTGCGAAGCCGCCTCACGTGACCTGGCCCCGACCTCCTACGACCCATCTAGCAACCAGATCCTGACGGGTCCTCTAGACCTGGCGAAGTGTTCCCTACAGGAACACTTCGACCATCGCATCCTAATCAAATCTAAAAATATTCTACAATTAATTGGTAGAAAAGTTCTGCCAACCGAAGTTTATAATAATCTTTAGGACTTTGGTATTCTTCTGAGAAAAACCAGCTTTAGCTAAGAATAAATTGAATTATTAAGTTTGAGAGATCTAGGAGAGCTCGAAGAACATCATCATTCATCCTTGAGAATGCGATTTACATCGTCGGTAAAAATATGAAACGTTTTTCAGCCGTCATCGAGCAGCAAGGGTTAGAGCCGTTGCTGAACATTCTGCGAAAACTCGGTGGATGGCCCATTCTGGAGGGCGAGCAGTGGAACGAGGACGATTTCAATTGGAAGGAGTCCGTGTACAAGTTCCGCGAGATGGGTTACTCCGTCGATTACTTCATCGATTTCAGCATCGGTGTCGATCTGAAGAACAGCACGAAACGGATAATCGATGTACGTATCCCGGGTTCGGAGAAATTTCCGCGTAGCCGTAAAATCGCAATCTCGCGAACCGACGAGAAATCCTTGACAAACAGAATTACATCAACGGATGGAATGGAGCATTCGGTTGTAAAGTTAAACGCGCGAATTCCCAATGTAAATACACCTTTCCGCAGGAGCTATGCCACTTAGCGTAATTGTGCAACAATAATTGATCATAAACGTGGTCAGATCGCATTTGTGATCGTGACTCAATGTTTATTCCCAGTATGAACACGTTTGTTCCTTACGATACACGAATTTGTTTGCTTAGTAGGTCGATGATTTAAAGAGTGTTTGCTATGATAATGAATGTAATAATGGCGTGTCAACACGAGCCAATGTAGATAAGAATTTAGATATTCTTTTCTTATAGCTGGATCAAGCTTCGCTTGGATTATCGCGCGAATATCTGTCGAAGGGGCCCGACGATAAAATTGTTCAAGCCTATTACAGCTACATGGTCGATATCGCGGCGATTCTTGGGGCTAACAAAACCGACGCGAAGCAGGAACTGAAGGAGTCGTTGGAATTCGAGATGAACCTCGCCAATGTAAGTTAATTCTTAAATCGAACTCGAGCTTCTTTTAACATTTACATCAAACTAGATTTAACGAAAGACTTGTTCGTTCTACCATCTTATATCTGGCTATAAATTTTCTGCAAAATTAATTTTTTAACTCGAGAATGTTTCGGTGAGTTAATATTTTAAAATGTTAAATAGATAGAATAGTTCTTTCCATTATATTCACGTGATGCTATATAATAAAGTTTGCCGTAATTAATAGATGAAAACTAAAATCTGGAACATTACCTCTTCAGATTTCTTTGCCGAACGAAAAACGTCGCAACGCCACGCTTCTCTACAATCCCATGACGGTAAGAGAGTTGTCGAAAACCTACCCCAGTGTTCCATGGAAGGAATACTTCAATACCCTTCTGGCGCCCAACGTTCAAGTCGACGAAGAGGAAGTCGTGATTGTCAGTGTTCCCAATTACATCGCAAGCTTGGAGAAGCTGTTGGCCACCACTCCGAAAAGGGTTCAAGCTAATTATGTGATGTGGAGAGCTGCCGCCTCCTCTGTGAGCTATCTCACGGACAACATTCGAAAGAGGCAGCTGCAATATTCCACGGCATTAAGCGGGAAAACAGAAAGAGAGCCTAGATGGAAAGAATGCATCGATACAGTTTCCGGTAGCTTGAGCATAAGCGTCGGTGCCATGTATGTCAGAAAATACTTCAAGGAGGATGCGAAGAAGAACGCCGTGGAAATGGTGGCTGATATTAGAAAAGAATTCACTAAGATATTACAAAAGGTATGTTCGTTTCAACTTAGGATATGTATGATAATCGTCTCGCGCTCCCTCGGTTCTGCTCATTTAAAAATAATTCGATATCCTTCAGGTTGATTGGATGGACGAAGAGACGAGGAAGAGTGCTCTGAACAAGGCAGCCAGCATGGCCAGTCATATTGCCTATCCCGACGAGTTACTGGACAACAATAAACTGGAAGAATTCTACGAAAAACTGGAATTAACGACGGATAATTACCTGGAAGGTATTCTGAACCTGACTTTGTTCGGAGTCGAGTATTCCTTCAGCAAACTGAGGAAACCCGTGAACAAGAGCGATTGGATAACTCACGGAAGACCAGCCATCGTTAACGCCTTTTATTCGTCCATCGAGAACAGTATACGTGAGTACTGCTTCATAAAAGCCGATAGAACGATAATTTCGTAGTAAATCGTTATACGATATTAAAGAGTCGATAACATTCGTGTAATACCTTTACAGAATTCCCGGCTGGTATTTTACAAGGCGCTTTCTTCAATAACGATCGACCAAGGTATATGAATTACGGCGCCATTGGTTTCGTTATTGGCCACGAAATAACGCACGGCTTCGACGACCAGGGTAGGCAATTCGATAAAAACGGAAATCTGGTGGACTGGTGGGCGCCACAGACAAAGGAAAAGTATCTGGAAAGAGCAGAGTGTATTATTCATCAATATGGCAATTATACGGTGGAAGAAGTTGGCTTGAACGTAAGCATCTTCTTTTATTATACGTTATCTTGTTTCTTTTTCTTCTTTGTCTATTCGTGTCATTCCTTGCTTTGCGTCAATCGATTCCAATATTTGTTTGATTGTAGATTCTAATTTTAGGGATATCAACGTATGCCGAGCTTTTTATTCAGTACCCTTACGTAAGCTTCGTTGAGCTCCTGCGATGCAAATAATGTTTAACGATGATGTTCTTCAATGATAATCGAGTATCGAAGATAAGGCGCGAATTTTTTCTCAAAGAGGTCAAACTCGTGCACGGCACGTACTTCTCAATCTGACGTTAGATAACCATTGAAATAAACACAAAAGCTAGTCTGGTAGACTGGTTATTCTAACCAATAGAGTAACGCTTCTTTCAACAGCGGGAGCGACTTTGATATTTTTCTTTCGATATAGGCAATCGTTTTGTCTGCTGAAATTTATTGAAACTATACCTCACTATCAAACGAAATATTCGTTTCGAGTTAAATATTTATTAAGTAAAGTAGATAGTCTTTTCTCTAGTTTAAATTTGTTTGTTTTCATTAAATTTCTTCTTTTTACCCAAACTTTTGTATTTTCAGTCACTCGAAGATACATTCTAAAAGAAATCTAAAAGAAAAAAATACAAACAAAATTGCTTCATTTTCTGTTACAGTTAAATGGTATCAACACTCAAGGTGAAAATATCGCTGACAACGGTGGGATAAAAGAAGCCTATCTGGCTTACCGAGAGTGGGTAAAGCGAAATCAAGATGAGCCAAAGTTACCAGGTCTTCCTTATTCTCCGCAACAACTATTCTGGATTAGCGCAGCGAACACCTGGTGTAGCAAGTACAGGCCTGAAGCAACGAAGCTTCGTATTACAACTGGTTTCCATAGTCCAGGAAAATTCCGCGTTCACGGCCCTCTTTCGAACATGGAGGAATTCTCGAAGGATTTTAATTGTCCCCTTGGCTCGAAGATGAATCCCGCAAAGAAATGCGCTGTTTGGTAAAGATCAACGTAATGAAAGATGAAAAAAGAAGAAAAACGAAAGTTATAATTGATCGACGGCGATGAAAATTGTTTCTCAATGTCTCAATGAAGAACGGTTCATAGCAGAAAACAATCTTTCGCTGAATGTTCCGTTGAAAACGACGATCTGATTCGATCAAAGAAAACTGTTACGAATAAAGTTTGCGCGTATCTCGACAGATCGTCGTAGATCTTAGTGGAATCCATTTAAGGAATAACAGTGACGGTGCTTCGATAATAGGGGAACTGATGAAATTCAATTTTTAAGCACGGTTGTACTCGAGAAAGATCTCACCAAGATGCCCAAAGAGATCCTCGTTTATAAATTGACTTGAATTACACGGTGCATATTACTAACATTGTTCGTTACTACATAAGTCCTTTTTTATAAGAGAGAAGTCCGAGTTTCGACAAGTATTGTAAATAAAAAAAAGAAAATAAAAAAACGACGAGAAATAAGATGGCGCGTTATGACGATTTGAAATTTTCTATAACTGCATTTTAAAGAAGCGGATAAAGTCCGTACTATAGGTTCGATCATCGAAGAGAAGTTAAGTAAAGATGGACACGTTTAAACTGTGATGATTTTATAGGAATCGACAATAAAATAGTGAAAACGGTCTTTCGGTTGAAGCTATAGGATCACGCGCAAACAAAAATATATAGAATTATATTGTTAATTATATTTTCAAATGACATTGTTTTACTGATATATATATATATACATATATATATATATATATATATAT